AGTATTTGAATCATACAGGTGTTCGGTTATCAATTTGTAAGGAATTCCTAGAATATGATTGGTGAACTTGGAAGTTTGACCAAACAAGAACATCCCAAATCTGGTCAATTGAGTTGAACTAAAATTGCCCAAGAAAAGACGTGCTGACATCAAATTTGTTGTTATGGTAACACATAATAAGGGGGACATGGTTAAACATACAAACATTTCTTCACACGTTTTTAAAGGTTTTCAAATGAAATCTTTATGTAAGCTATTACATTCTAGCCTATGTGGACCTATTGTGTGCCCTTTCACACGTAAATCATCATTCTAAAAATTACGACACTATGTGGACAAAAACTTTAATGTGCCAATACCTACAGGTCAAGGAAAGCAACCAGCTCAACCACATAAAGGACATCGTAACCATAAAATTAAACAATCCACTGTCATCATGAACTTATGTTTGTAATTTGAAAATAAATCAGACAACCAAAGTAAGAAGCATGATAGTTAAATTTACGAGAACGGTTATTCATTTTAACAGGAAGTAACCTAAAAGCCAAAATGTTCAAATGGCGGGTAGCCTCAAAAGAGATGATATGAAAAAATTGAAAGCCAAATCCCTTTTTTTATTAATATTCATCATTAAGGATACATCTTCGCTAACTGTAAAACATGCTTTCTTATTTATATAAATAAAAAGCAAATCACTATTTCAAAAGATGTCTACTTAAACTTAAAAGCATTATTAAAGTTATTGCACTTTTCTGTAATTAATTAATTCAATCCAGGGAGTGAACAAATTCACCACAAATAATAAAGCTACAACAGACCCTGTTTCCTGAGCATTGTTACTTTTCATAAATTACTTTACACAGATTGAATCTTCTCTAAAACATCCGTCTTTGAAACCAACACTGATAATAGCATGCAATAAGCATTCTTTCTTAAACTTTTGTATTTTTCAATTTATGTACTTGCAAGCATTACCCAGATTTTCTCTCAAACTCAAGAAAAACTTTTTAACAGCAAGTAGTAAAAAAAAATAGTTATAAAGAAACAAAAATAACAATGAAAAATATAAATGTATATATAAACATTTAAAAAAAATGGATGTACATCAGAATGGTAAGAGTTGTGTGCATAAGTACTAATTCATACTACAGACTTTCTCTACATATAGATTACCAATCAGAAATCACAGGATTTCTGTAGTCTTCTTACATTACGGTATCTGAGTTGTCTTTTTAGTGTGGGTGTGGTGTAGTGCATGTGTGCTTTGCCATGGTCGCTCAAAGGGTTAAAAAACGAATGGTATAAAACATAACTTATAAAAACATGGAGATAATTGACCTGATGAAAATATGCATGCAAGATGCAAGTCATTAGAGCAAACAAACAAACAAACTAACAAACAAACAAGCCAGGTAATGATCTCCAGAGATTTGCATTCTAACATAGCATAATGCTGAAATTGACCCTTTAAGAGTCACGACAATACAGAAACAGTACGCCGCTCAATAGTGCTCAGTTTACCAGTGTCACTGCCAGCAACAATTGTGTTAATGCCATTAGAAATTGAACCTGTAAATATATGTTTTAGGTTTTATACAAATGAACAACAATGATTGTGTTCTCAAAATGAGTGAATGAGTGCTTTGCCTGAAGTTGTTTATTGTGTTGACTGTGTTGTAAACAATGTACACATTCCTTAGGATGCTAGCCTCAAAATCATCACAAGCTTACTTATAGAAAAAACACACATTCCATTGAAATATGATTAATAAATACACAAATTATAGTAATGTAAAATTTG